ATTCTTGGCCTACCCCTGGCTCTGCTCTCTTCACATTTAGGCTCAGCAAATTCTTGACCCAATTATTCTCATCTATTTTCTCCATATGCCCAAACCATTTCAGCCTGTCTCTATTCAGAATTTTGCCAATACTGTAGTACTGTGCTCTCAATGCCCAGCCATCTGCTAACTCTGAACAAGACCTCCTGTCTTTCAGTGTCACAATACACATACACCTCACCACTCATTTCAGCTTGCTCAAGTCTGCTTATACCATCCTATCAACTGCCACACATCACTTCTCACACCAGTTGCATACATTCTTCATTTCACGTGGAGGAAAGGCCCTCTTACCGTCAATAAAGGCAGCAACTCCCTAAACTAACTCCAGCCACTTCTGAATCTTGCAACTGGGCAGGCTTCAGCACCCCCAATGACACCGATCATGTTACCCAGGTAACAGATTTCATTGACAGTCAAGTCACGTGATATATCCATAATGTTGAGGCTCTCCAGCCTTGCTGTGGGCATATGATTACCTGCACACACATACACTGTCAGCAATATTCTGTAGTCTGCCACCTACTCCACTGCACTTCTTGTGTACACACTTTCCACTTATCGCACAATGAAATACCGTACTGTACTGTATATTGTATCGAGTTGCTGCCAACTTTGGTTTTTGCCACTTTCACTCTCGGGCCCTTTGACTATTCCATCCTTCCATTTCTTAAGTATTGTACTGTATCTCCACTGCCTCTTCAATGCTATCAGCACTAAATCATCAGCATATAACAACTTCCAGGGCAGGCCAGTGCTAAAGCCGTGATATGTCTTCAATACCAAGATAAACAGAGAGGTTCAAGACATGCACTTACTTTCAACTCAAATTCTTCACCACTTCCTCTCACGGGTTTTTGAGCCCTCATATGCCATAACCACTCGAAAATGCTTCTCAACTCCTAGCCTTTACATTACCCACTTCACTGGTACCGTCAAATGCTTTCTGTAAGTCTACGAATAGAAAGTATACTGTATACAGTAGTACAGTACCACTAATTTTTATGCACTAATTGCATAAGCCTGAGGATACAGTAGCAATTTGCATATATTTCCATCCCATCTAAGTTTGTTAACAAGATGTATGAAGAAATATCTAGGGTATATTCATTACATTTCATAATTTTTTATTATTATTGATCCTTGGATAACCTAAAGTTTCAGAATGATTTAATTAATTTATACCTTTTAAAGATGTTCCAATTTTTACTTATTGTAGACATGAGAGCACATTTTATATATATATATATATATATATATATATATATATATATATATATATATATATATATATATATATATATATATATATATATATATATATATATATACTGATAACCTGTAGTTTATAATTTTCATTCAGTTTACTTTCAGAAAAATTATGTCAATATGCAATTACAATATAGTTTTTCACTTTGTGTAGCTACCATACTTTTGTAGTGAAATTTACAAACCTAAGAATTGTCACATGTTCCATATATACAGGTATTGTATTTATATAGTGGTACAGTGCTGTGCATATTGTACAGTAATTCCAATTACCAACACAGTACAACAGTACTGTTTATCAAATGCTAAATAATCTCAACTAATTGAGTCATGATAAAAATCTTTATTATTGTACTGTATGCACCTTTCAGATACTGTACAGGATCACGTGATTATACACCTTTCAATCATTAAAAGCCATGAATATGTGAGTTGTGAGGGAAACTACAAGTTTATGGTCAGTACTATATATAGTTTGTTTATGTTGTAAATTTGTTGGCAGATCAGAGTTAGTGGCACTTCATCAAAGGTCTCTTGCACTATTATCCTCCTATTACCAGGCTCTTGAGCTTTTACTACCTTATTTCATTCATATACTGTACAGTAACCAGTACAAAGTTCGTTCTACAACTTACTAACACTATACAGTATAGATGTAAATGTACTGTACTGTACTTGCAATATAGTTCATAAATGAAAATGGTTAGTTTTAATTAAACAGTATCAAGTACTGTACAGTATTTTCATAAATGCTTAACACTGCAAGTTTAAATAAAAGCAGGCGTACTGTAGACATGCTATTAATTGTAATGCTGTATCACCCACTAACTTGGAAAAAGCTTGCTTATCTGACACACCAACTAATTCTATATGTAAGTTTAGCTATCAAAAGCTGCTCACAACAGCAGCAAAATGAGAGTTTTTGTACAGTAATGGTGATCTGAAGTAAAGATGCTGGAAACAGGATAACAAAGATAATATGAGGTTTGAAGGAGACTGAATGAGGTTAAAAGATAAGAGCAAAGCGAGTACAGTATGTACATGTATGATGTTTTAAGGGCTGGGCAAAGTAAAGATGCATACAAGAGACTGCATTTGTAAGGTGAGGATGCAGAAGAAATTGCATATGCAAGATTGTATTGCAGACCATTGAAAAAAATAGGTACATACAAGAGACAACAACTGTAAGATGGTGATCTATGTTAAAAATGTATGGGCAAGACAAATGCATCAAGGCAGGATTATATACAGTATTATTGTACCCTGTATATAGGAAACAGCTTACCCAGTATGGAAGATTTTAGATGCATGTGCAAGGCATTGACTCAGTGAATTTACGTACAAACATAGGTTTGCACAGATAATGGATTTGTTGCACTGGGACAGACTGTAGTCTACATTTGAAAAATAGGAATGCACAAGAGACCATGTGGATGAGATGCACTGAAGTTACTGCATGTGTAAGAGACTGCATTGAACTTTTTTATTTTAAATATTGTATTGTAAACAGTATACTGTGTGTAAGATAATGTTCCCAATGGTAGGAGTAACAAGAGGAGTGAAGGTAGGGGAAAACTGGAAGAGTAGCAAATGAAACTATAAAATGTAAATCAAAGTTAGAATAAAGAGGGAGATAAAGAGTATTGTATGAACAGGAATTATCAAGATAAGGCACATGCTGATCACTGAGGTTAGAATAAAGCATAATTCTGAAAGTTGAGGTTCGAATATAGAAGCGGATAGTTAGTACAGGTATAAGGCACAGATGCCGACAGATTAGTATAGCACAGGTATACAGTATAGACAGTACAAAAAGTGCTGACAGACCAGGTTAGAGACTGGTAGTTAGTTTATGGCATAAGTAATGATAGATCAGGTGAGAGCAGGGTACTGCTAATTAAAATAAAGCACAGGTGCTGAAACATAAGGAGTAAAGACTGATGCTGACAAACATGTATACAGCATTTACAATATAGGAAGTGAATGTTGACATGTAGGAATTTACTGATAGATGGTTAAAAATATAGAAATTGATGGTTTGGGTTAAAGATGCTACGATATGAATGGAAAAAATGATAAGCAGGCAAAGCTGAAAGTTTAAAGTAAATAAACAATAGAGATTTAAGAAAAAGAAGGCTAGACGAATACAGGGTAAAAGAACGGAAACATTAAGGATAAAATAAAATTGTACACACAAGAAAAGTAGGGTTCAAGATAATGAATGAAGACATGGACAGAAATGCACAAATGCCAGGAATAAAGATGAGAACAGGAAAAAGCTACGAAATAAAATTAAAGAATAAGAATACCCTATGAAAGAGTAACACGAAGAATTAGAGGGAAGGTCAAACTGGAGAAAACGGTGGAATACGAATATAGTAAAGAATATAATACCTGAAGAACAGAGATGTCATTGTGTAAACCCGTAATTCGGTATACTGTACTTTGTTAAGGTATGTAGTTGGATTGTTGAATATGTCCTACAATCTAACTTAAAAAAATATCCCAGTAAAAAATCAAACCGGAGCTTTAAAGAATACCAAGTTAAACAAATAAACATTACAGTCAATGAATTTTCATAAAAATAAAAACGTGCTACGTACAGCAAATTTTGAATGTTGTATCCGGGGTTAAGTCAAGGTGCGTTAATTAACGGCTTTAATTTAAAATGAATATATTAGCTGCATCCATAGTTATTTCCGGATACGATATGAAAAATTAAGTAAAGTTATAAATAATACCTGAAAAATTTACATGCATCTAGTAAATCGGGGTTTGGTGTACAGGGCGAGCGACCATGACCCCGCGGCGTCCTCCCATACCTACCACATCCCTCCTCCCTCTCTATGGTCTGGCCGGGACTTCCACATTCCTTCACTCCACATATTTACTTTCCAGTTCTCAAGTATGTTACGCAGTGGATTTATTTATACAGGGCAATTGGGACGTGGAGCCTTTATGCCATTTGTTAAGAACCAGATTAAGAGTAATCATTTAGGTTGGAATTACAGGTGCGATTCCGTCATCACATTCGAGAACAGTTGACATCGTCAAGTTATCAGTGTAGTGTTAACTTCACTAGTATTTCATTCATGCTCTAATTCATATATATGTATGCGATAAATGTGTATTGCTAGCTAGATATATATTTACCATATATTTCAAGATTTATTGAACTAGGTTGTCGCAACAATGGCAATTTGCGTGGGAAATAAGCCTAAACAGTAACAGGCGTTTCGAAGCACTATGTCCGCCAACCCTTCAAGCCATACATTGCTGCCACATATTTTAGCGCAGTTATCATATATGTACAAGTTCTTACTTCACTTCCAAGTATAGACGGTGTTTTCATCGAGTCAACATAAATTTTACATTTATCAGATTTACTCTTATCGCCTTCATAATCTTTTAAATCGTTGTACCCAGCATTTAAAAATGGCGACAAAACACGGAACGTGCAACGATTTTGTAAATTTGACCCAGATGTCCCTAGGCACTCCTTACTTTTAATGGCACACCCTTATTACCAGCATCACACTGATCACGTACACCAACATTGCTTGAATCAGTTACAATGTTATCAGTCATATCTTTCATATCTAAGCAGTTAAAAGTGCACCACTACATTTTTCTTATTTGTACAGGTTAAAATTACTCACTTCACAGAAACTGGGGACACTTAAAAGAGAAAATAACCTTTTCTTATTTATTGGTAGAAAATATAAAAACTAATGTCAAAAAATGAGGTCCTAAGTACATACGAGTGTAACACTGGTCGTAAAATCAATCCTTGAGGAGTCCCCGGGGTTATGGGATAAATAGCTTACACTAACTTTCTAAAATGTACAGGCTTAGGAATATAAAAATAAGTTTGTACATCACATAACACTGTCTTTTTGGTCGTGTAGACGCGCATATCCACTAAGGCGATCACTCATCGTCATCTGAGATATCATCGTCGTCGTCGTCAGGTCCTATGTCGTTATCATCGTCGTCGTCATCATTGTCCTCGTGCTTCACGTCCACTGGGTGGCCATTCGTAGCCTTTAGTTTCTTAGAAGGCAAGGGGCCACCGGCCTTGTAGACGGTCATCTCACGGTCGTAGCGAGCGCGGTCCTCCTCGGCCTGCTTCTCGTACTTGAGTTTATCACCCTCGAACAGCTCGTTCCACTGGCGCCCCAGCTCCTTGGCCACCTCCCCCACAGAAAAGTCGGGGTTAGCAGCTCGTACCTTGGCTCGTTCATCATTGGCGTAGTAGAAGAAGGCGGAGAGAGCTCGTTTAGGCTTATTAGGGTCTTTAGGTTGTCTGGTTCCACGTCCACGCCGTCCACGACGGCTTCCGGGAGGCGGTACGAAGTCCTTCATCTCCAAGTCGTAACGAGCCTTGTCCACGTCAGCCAAATCGTGAAACTTTTTCTTCTCCTTCTCCGACATGGTCTTCCAGCGCTCTGAGCACTGGCGAGAGAACTCAGCAAACTGAACATTCTCGTCAGGATGGAGCTTCTTGTGTTCTGTGCGGCAGGTCTGCACGAAGAAGGCATACGCAGTCATGCGACCACGGGGCTTGTCAGGGGTAGACCCTGATCCCTTTGGTCTTCCACGCGGCATGTTGGCACTTAGGTGACACTCCTGAGAAGAGGTTAAACCGCTGAGCGGTGGAGAGTGGCGGAGTGCGGTGTAACCTCCCTGTGCGACACTGTCTTAGTAAGTGACGCTTTACGACCGTTACTGCGGGCCAGGCCACGCGGGACACGCCAGTCTTACCCCTCACTCAGCCAAAACCAGCCTATCCACTAATCACAACCCATTTTGATAGCTCGGGCCTCTTGAACTCGACTCTCATTGGTTGAGCGGCCAGCGGAAACGACGCCTCGCACTCCTTTCGCCGCTTTGTACTTATGTTCGCGGGAAAATGCTGTATTTTCATTGGTCGTAGGTGGACGACGCGCTAACGTAGGGTGGCCAAGAGGCTTATGTTTTATAGCAACAGTCCGTTTTCAACCTTATGACAGAGTTCATTATGGGTTTATGACGCAAGAAATGTAGGAAATACCCCACGTATTTTTAATATAAGAGAGCAAAGGGCGTAAGGTTTTCTATGGCCAGGTAATATAACCCCTATGCCCCACGATATTGACTTCATTGTTGAAGAGACGACTGTATTTCTTGCATACTTGTAGGGGTTTCATTTGGCTTCTTCTAATGTCTACTTACTAAAATCATACGGAGTTCGAGTCATTGGCTTTCTATGAAGGCTCTATGATTAAGTTATTTTATTTCAGCTGCTAATTATTACTATAAAAATTATTATTTCATTTATCGCAAATATATCAGTAAAGATAAGGACGTGGCAAAAATAATACCTTACAATTGCTATAAAGATCAAATTGGAATGCGCGCCCAAGACTAAAATCGGAATTAACCAGTTGAATCAGCGGGTCACCGATTGGTATGAATTGTCTTGAATGAAATATTATTTTAACTTTATCATGCACAATGTTTCATCCATAGTAAGTATCATATAGTGTTTGTTTTATCAATAAACATACAAATAAAAAGAAAATATTACGCGTATGGTTAATATTACCCAGGAAATAGTTTTCTTATTGCGGGAGATAAATCGAACGTTGTAGTTTTCCCGCCACTTTGTAAGAAGCCCGCCCAGCCTCTCGTATCGAGTTGCCATCTACCATTATTTTAGAAAATATTTGGGATGCGAAGTTTATATTTCCAAACACAAGGGTATATTAGTATAAAGAAAGTAGTTTTAGTAAATAGAAATGAATGCATGTTAAGTGCGATATTAAACAAAGCACGTAATAAAATGTAAGTGAGGAGGTTTTGAGTGTAAGGATGCCGTTCTGAGATCGCTGGTTATGGCACGCTCTACAAGGTACTGAACAGTTAACTTATTACTTAATTTTTAGGTGTACCTGTATTATAGGCCAATCGCTTAAGCCCATACTGAAGCCCACAGGAACTTAATTAATTACAGCAAAATGTAGAAATTTCCTACCGATGCTTTAGGAGCCTGGAGCGGCGTCACTACGTTGAAGACCTGTCACAGTCAACACGCATAGTTTATTCTACCAATTGTTGTTTCTGTGCTGCCTCATGATTTCTGAGAATTATAGCTTACGTTATACAATAAAACATTAAAACTATGAGCATTAGCCTCTTTGGTCACAAGAGCAATATCTGTAAACAAGCACATATAAAACGTCCTTGAAGAAAATTCTCATCTGAACATCTTTGCAGAAGGAAACAAGAAATATTGATTGCGCGGGCAGGGCCAGAGGCTCTACTCTCATAAGATATCGAGAGTTTGAGATCACGCAAAATATACTCTAACACACGCTCACCATAGGGTCTAGTAGCCACTGTATTATTTTTTTATTTCTTTTAGGTGTTCGGATGTTTCGTTTTACCTGTTTAAGTTGTTACTGCGAAGGTATTTATACGGTTTTTCTTATATAGTAAATCTTCATTCGTGTTAGTTTTTATTTGGGGATGAAAAGTTATATAATGTCAAGCTTCTTTGCATCCAGCTGAGGCGACCATATACGTAGAGCCAGCTGTTGCGCATAGTAATGATTCAGTGAATCTTTATTGCCAATACCCCATTGTACTTCCTTTTTACCTTCAGACGTATTATTGACGTCTATGTTGACGTTTGTATGTTAACCTTGGAAATCTTGTCTATACTGATACTCAGAGACCTTTTTATCAGTTCGCGCTGACACCCGAGTCGAGATAAAATAAAATATGCAGGGAAATCTGAGATTTAACAACTATGGCAAGATTACCCGTGAGGGCAGTGAAGGGTGTAGCATAAGGCTTAGTTATGTAATTTACAAGTCCCATGTTTGCATCTCGCCCACGACGTTTGCAGGGTTTGCACTGAAATCCTTTGAATATTGTTCACCTTTAGCATACAGTACTTTTGCTGTGGTTATTACATAAGAAAATAAGGAGTCTGCAATAGGCCGGTTGGCCTGTGCATGGCAGCTCCTGTCGAGAGTTACTACCACTCTCTATCATCCATGAATCTATCCAGCCTCCCTTTGAAACTTTCCAGCGTTCCAGCACTTACTACAAAGTTGCGAAGCTTGTTCCACTCGTCCACCACCCTATTTGTAAACCAGTTCCTTCCTATCTCCCTCCTCAACCTAAACTTATCCAACTTGAATCCGTTGTTCCGAGTCCTATCCTGCTCGGATATTATAAGAACTTTATCTATATCACCTTTATTGATTCCTTTCACCCACTTGAATATTTCTATCATATCTCCCCGCACTCTTCGTCTTTCTAGGGAATGCAAATTTAGTTTCTTTTACCTTTCCTGATATGGAAGGTTTCTAAGTCCCGGAATCATTTTCGTCATTCTTCGCTGCACCGACTCTAGTGAATTGATATCCATTCTATAATAAGGGCACCAGAACTGAACCGCATAATCGAGGTGCGGCCTGACTAGCGCAAGATATAGTTGCAATAAGACCTCTGCATTCTTATTACTTACCTGTTAGTTAATTGTTAGTTATTTAATGAAGTCTCCATTATCTTCTTTCGGTACTGTGTGCCCTGCCCGCCTGTGGATTTTTAGAGCTTTCGAATACTCTACATATATTTTTCGTCAAAATGCCATTTACTTGGGATATTATATTCTAAGATACTCATTTTATTTAGATATCAGAAGGTAAGTACACTAGAACCGTTGAGTTGAGCCTGAATTCAGTATAATACATATATATGATTAATAAAGGGACCACCTGAAGAATCTCTACCCCAACTTATTTCAGCTAATGATTAACCACCATAACACTAACCTAACCTAATATCATCCCTCCAAATACTGTTAGGGTGGTTAATCTGTAGGTTAAGCTAGGGTGTATATTCTTCAGGTGATCTCAATAAACACATCATTGGTGAGTGACTGTATATGGGAGGTTGTGCTGAGCTGTTTATATTGTAGAATGTTAGTTTCTCAATATAAAATAATTTCGCTCTCGTCATTGATCTAATTTTTTTTTATTAAAGGGTAGACTTTTTAAGGTAACCATCAGTTTTTGTATCCATAGATTATCAATTCTGGTAAACACTTTTTCTTGTTCTGAATGTTGGCTTTGGGATTGATGAGATGGAAAAGTTTTATGTTGTGATACCCATATGTTTTTCACTTTATGTTTATTAGTAAGGCCATTTTAATTTGAACGCTGAAACATTACCTGGCTAGGGTAAAATTTCCGTCTAGTTCGAAACATCTGGTCACTAAACTACTGAAAGTTTGACATTTTCACTGAGGCTTACTTCCTGTGGTGTGAAGCTCATGGCGATTGTATACGCCTGGCAGCTGTTACCCACGCTACTTAAAATTTCTCCTCGATTATCTCACCAGTTCTCATCCTTATGTTATTTAGGTTCATTATTGAAGTCTCCAATCTTCATTTGTTTATCCAGTAATCTTCCATACTAAAGCAAGTGCAATATACAGTATACTGTATTCAGTGTTTTGTATTCGTGCATGAGTTTGGTCTTCCCTAATAAAGGTTCATACTCCAGAATAATCCTCCTAACTAGAGGTGAAATCACACATAATTACATCAAACTAGTGTAATTTTTACGTAATTTTTGAGTCACCTCTGTATCGCATCTTAACCTTAGAAAACCAAGACGAAAAGAACTATAGTTTTTGGGTGCCTTTAATGTTTAAAAAACACATTTTGTAAATAACAAGAAACAATTCTTATTGTCATGGTTAGCTAGTTATTAGTTTCCTGGTCGCCAGGGCCTGGTTAGTCACGAACGGAGTTGGTACAGTACAGTACAAAGTTTAATGACTTAACCAGGTATCAATTCAATTCAATTTCAATTGTTTATTCCTTGATCGAGGAAGCGGGATCCTAGTGCTGTCACTAGGTACCCCTGTACAATAACACCAGAAGCATCTGGCAAGTGTCACAAGTATATACAGTATAAATATTATAAAGGGGCTTACTAAAGCCTAAGGAAGGAAGGATATTCCTTTAACACATAATCAATGTTATTTACATATTATCTGGCCAGTATGGGGAGGATCATCGTGTCTCCGTCAGGGGGTCGTGGAGTGGTGGTCCAGCAGGCGTCACGGAAGCGTTGTGTGTGGGGACATCTTAGGAGGTAGTGGATAAGGGTGCGGCTGTCGGGTCTTCTACATAATGCACAAGAGCGTTGCTCAGGGATGCGGGGATACCAATCTCAACCAGGTATCTTCTGAGCATTATCACGATCTTTCGGCTGCACTAGTTATATCTAGTTATACCTAACAACCCAGGGACGGTTATACTTGTGTAAGTTACATTTAATTTGATTAAAAATTAAAATTTTCAATATAGTTTGTTACTCTCGCTCGTTGACAAATAAATCAAAACTAAGCAAATGTCACAACCATGACCAACTAGTTTAGTTGAAGCGACAAATTCATGATATATTTTTTTCCAGTGATAACGTTTTATATTGTTATGATATTATAGTTAATAGTTATTTGTATTTTTTTGGTTAGGCATACTTTAGAATGTTAATAAGTATGTCAAAGACAAGAATTCCATAACCCTCATCGCGCGAGTGTTATCCTTCAACGTTCCAGTATAAGTTGGCTTTCAGCTCTCGACTACTTATAAGGCTCCAAATCCTGAGTATCAGGTTAGCCGTCAACACTTGAGTATAAAGTTAGCTTTCAGCGCTGAAGTACAGAGTTT